AAGGTTGAGATGATTTTGACAAGTAATTAAAGGAATTTTGGGAAGAATGTGTTTAAGGTTTTGTGTAGTTTGATTGGCATAGTTTTGGATTGTTTCATTAGGGCAATCTTTCCAAAGAAAAGATTTCCTTTTCTGTTGTTTGTATGGTTTGGGTTTGCTTATGATAATTGATATTTCAAGGGTAATCAAGGAATAAGGGTTCAAGTTTTAGTAGGTACATTTATCTACAAATATTTGAAAATATTTACTGTGGAAAGTCCAAGTAAATACAGGTTTGGATTAGGAATTTTTAAAAGGAGGTTCATTGTGAAGTAGTTGGCATTATGTATAATGTTGATCATTATAGAAGATTCTATTACCAAAGATTGTATATATAAATTTGTGATTAGCAAAGTAGTATCAACAACCCCTAAGGTGGTATTGAAAATCTTGTTTGGAAAGATGACTAGATGGTAACCAGAATTGAAAGTAGTAAGAAATGTGGTGAACACAAAAGGATCTGTAGTAAAGAATTGGCTTTATCAGATTTAGAATATCTTTGGCATATATGGAATTCACTAGCTAGTAAAAAGTTGAAGTATAGAGGTGTGTATATGTTAATAAACCTAACAGGCTCTTATTGTATCCATATGGAAGTTTTCAAACATTAAGAGAACTTAGAACCACCAATACAGATATAGCTAGTATAAGTGAATGCAATAGTAACCGGGAGCTACAATTGCCAAAAATTACTATAAATAAAAAATGATAACATACCTGTTAAGAACTCCTAGGTATCATGAAACTATTTAAATATATTAGGTACTAAAAGCATATGAGAAACATGCCTAAGTAGTCTGGTTATCATATTGGGAAGTACAGTCGTTTGCACAATACCAAATTCAAAATATTAAGACCTTGGTAGGAAACTAGCTAGTTATGGTAGTATGCAGGCTTAAAATACTTATTTAATTGAGTAAAGGCAGATGCATAGCTTGAAATATAAACTTCTAGAAGTATACTAGTTGGAAACAGATATACCAAACTAAAAGCAATAAGTACTCATCTGGTATATACCAATTTGAAAGTTAAGATATTAGGTAATAGCAGATATGTAAATACTAATTGGCAGTTGGGGAGAGATGTATAAACCCAGATCAATCATATATATTGAAGTGTTGATGGCTCTAGTAGGTTTTAGCTATAGACAAATAGTTTTAGATCTGAAGTTCTAGTTCTAGTTTTAATATATAATATATATATATATTAGCACTATCATATATCAACTTGCTTAAATATTAATAAAAGTCTAGAGTGGGTACTACACTCTAATATTAAAAATATATATATATATTATATAAGATAGAGTCAAAAAAAAAACAAATTATTTTAGTGAAATTTTTTAATTTTTAACAACTAATTAATCAAATTTGCTTATTTTATTTTTAATATTATAAAGAATTAAAATAAAATAAAAATTATTAAGTTTGGTAAGATAATTGCTAAGATATTTAAATTTAAAGTTAAAAAAACTTTTATTTAAAAAAAATTTGTCACTTTTTATTAATTTTACTCTATATAATAATTATAAATAATTATAAAATAATTTTAAAATTATTTTAAAATAATTATATTATAAAATAATTATAAAACTATATAAACTTAATTTTTTGGTTTTTATAACCCAGCTGGGTTATATTTTGAAAATTTTTTGAAAAAATTTTTTTATATAATTTAATAGCCAGATGGGATTTCAAAAAAATTTTTTATATATAAAATTTTTTAAATAAAGTCCAAATAGACAAGTCATTACTTTATTTAATACTATAATGCCAAGTTATTGTTTTTTAAAATTAATTTAAATTTTATAATTTAAAAATTTTAAAAATTTTTAAATAAAAGTCTGGCCTGTTGGGTCTTTTTTTTTTTTTATATTATGAGAACCAAAAAATTAATTTTATATAGTCTAAAATACAGTTAGACCTTGTTATAGTCACTCTCAATATAGTTACAACCTTGTTAAAATTATACTATTTTTTTTGATCTAGCTATTATAAAAACATATAAATTTGACCTTTATATAGTCCCAACTTTTTATAATCACCAAAATTTTGTTTCCCAACCTGGTGATTATAACGAAGTCTAACTGTATATACAATTTTAATAATTGTATTAATATTTTTAAAATTATTTTAATTTTATTGAAAAAAGTAACTATACAGTATATAATTATACAGTACTGTATATTGTATTAAATATAGTAATAATTATTAATAAATTAATTTTTTATAATATAAATAACTATATATATATATATATTGTATAGCTTTTAATTATACAAAATTATAAAAAAAACTAATTTTATATAGTATTATCTAATATATATTATATATACAAAATATATGCTATAATTTAATTTATTAATAATTAATTTGGCCATATTAGTAAATCTATATCGTAAAATATATTTAATCAACTCAACTTTTAACTAGTCAAAATTTTTAATTTGAAATATATATTTACTATAGTTGACGTTCAAGTTAAACAAGTCTTAACCAATGTAATAACTTTGTACTGTAAAAAAAAAAAGAAAATATATATATATATACATTGAAAAAAATAAAAAATAAAACTAGAAAAAAATTTTGAAAGATAAAAAAAACAAATAGTTAACAGTTAAAAAATATTCAAAATAAATAAATATTTATAGTAAAAGAAAAAAACCACTCAAAAAAAACCATCTGAATTTTAGAATATTTTTGAAAAGTTTATAAAGTGCATCTTTAAAAAAAAACAAGTCAAAATAAAAGACATTAATTCTTATTTAAATCTTAAATAAAATGATGTATAAATTTAATTCGACTGCTTTACTTAAATGCCTAATTTGTGGAAAATCATTAAAAAAGTTATAGGACATATATTTGGGTTTTATTATCCCAGATGAAGTATGAATCCCGATCCCCGGACAAAACTATGTAGTGTCATAATTCAAAAACAAAAAAAAGTGGATCGCAACCTTAACGTCGTCCAAACAGTCGACTTAGCAATTTTGAGAAGGTACCATTGCTGTTGGATGTAGCAGGTGATACTTGAGGTTTCTCTTCAGATAGCGAACTAGAACTAACGCGTCGACGCCGAACTGAAGGAGATTGCTCAATTTCGTCTTCGGTCTAATCATTAATAAAATGTAATAAAAGATTAATTGATGTCGAGGTAAATTGTGGAAATTGTTTATAATATTAATTTACCTCAAGGTTGGTTAAAGTTGAACCACTACGTTTACGTTTTGTAACAGGTGTATCGCGCATATTTGCATATGCCGAGTTATAATGTGAAACACTCGGCCGACTGCCAATTGAACTCGTACTATCAACGCTACTCCGTCGACTTAATATATTTGAATGCCTTTCAAATTCTGCAGCTTCCAAAGCTATTATTCGTTTGCGAATATTATCTCTAAAAAATTTATTTATTTAAAAATTGGACATAAGATGTAAACAAAATATTAACAGTTAAAAATTATAAACTTACTCTCCAAAAGACTTGTTATCCGTATTTATCATAATAAATTTCGCAACAACATCTCTGTATACATCTTCGCTTCCTCTTCCAGCTTTACCATTTTGAATATATTCATTTTTAGTATCTTCATAAAGACCTTTCAATTGAATCCAGTGGTCCCTCGTCCAAACAGCAGAAGTTTGAGTTGATGATGAACCGCTTTCTAATAATACTGGCCTGTCCACATTTGTAAATGAAGCGGAACGAGATTTGGGTTTACCCGGTTTTATAAACACCGGTGAAGGAGTACTAAGGCGTGAATTATCAGTCAGAGAAACAGGAGTACTAGCAGGTGTGTCTACTATATCATAGGTTTGACCAGCAGTTAGAACACGAACAGCATTTGCAAGGACATTTGGATCATCAGCAGAAACAGCAACCAAATCAGGGTCGAGAATTGGTGGTTTATCAAATATAGCATGTCCACTAGCTGTACTACTACGATCAGCATTCGCAAGGACATTTGGATCATCAGAAACAGCAACCAAATCAGGGTCGAGAATTGGTGGTTCATCAAATATAGCATGTCCACTAACTGTACTACTAGCTCGACTTCGTTTTTTGCCTCGTTTTTGATTACTAACTCTAGTAGTTTTTGGTTTTCTACCTCTCTTTGGAGTAACTTTTTTTGTTGGTGTGTCAACCAAACTTGCAACATTTTTCTTTGGAGTAACTTTTTTTGTTGGTGTATCAACCAAACTTGTAACATTTTTCTTTTTTGGAGTGACTTTTTTTCTTGGTGTATCAACCAAACTTGTAACATTTTTCTTTGGAGTAACTTTTTTTCTTGGTGTATCAACTAAACTTGTAACATTTTTTGGTGTTCTTTTTGGCCTAAGAACTATGGGATCACGTTGTACAGGATCAATTTCAATTTCAGGATCAATTTCAATTTCAGGATCAATTTCAGTTTCAGGATCAATTTCAGTTTCAGGATCAATTTCAATTTCAGCATTTTCTTCATCAAGCGCAATTGGTTTAGGAATTTGTTTAGGAGTAATTTGTTTAGGAGACCGTGTTGGATCACGTTGTACAGGATCAATTTCAATTTCAGCATCTTCTTCATAAAGCACAACTGGTTTAGGAATTTGTTTAGGAATTTGTTTAGGAGTAATTTGTTTAGGAGACCGTGTTTTACGTTTAGCAGCTGCAGATATTTTACTCGTTCTTGGTATTATAATTGAAGGAATACGCGATTTTGGAGGAGGACGTTGACGCTTAGCGGGTGCACTCACGATGGGACTATCCTGTGTTTCAGAATCAGAATCATTGTCATTATCATCATCATCCATAACCCATTCACTATCATCTTTTCTTTTACGACTATATGTGGGCCTTGTGTTTTTTGTAAGTTTTGTAGTTTTAGTAGGTTTCACAGGTTTTTCTACCTTAATTGGTTTGGCTGATTTGCGTCGAATATTTTTGCGCTTTGGAGTAGTTTTCACATTATTTGAAGTTTTTTGAATAGGTATCTTTGGAGAAGTTTTAATTCTTTTAGCACGTCTGGTTGCAATAGGTGTAGTACCAGCGCCTTTATAATTTGGGGTGACCTTTCTTGAACGGAGATCATGTTCTCGTGAAAAATTACTGGAATTATTTACACTTTCAGTGATACTAGAAACATCTTCAGGGATTTCTTCTCTATCACTTTGTACCGGAGATAATTCATGAGTATGTTCATCTGATTCGACCTGATGGCCATGACCAGAATTGGAAATATCGTCGACATCAGCTTCGTTCTCTGTTGCTGAATGTGACCTTGAACGATGGGGATATTTACGTCGCCTTTTCTTTGATCGTCTTCCACTCGAATAAGAGTACCGTGGGTAATTATAACTAGTCTTATTTCTATAATCGTTTTAACTCAATAAGATTCAAAATCTATACTGGTTGAAACTAGTTTATACTAGTTGACACTAGTCGACAATAGTGACACTAGTTGACACTAGTTGACAATAGTTGACACTAGTTTATACTAGTTGACAATAGCTGTCTGAACACAAACAACTTTAACACAAACCTTGGGCGCATGCTACGTCTCGTTTCAGAAACAGTGGTAGTAGGAGTTGTGATATCATCATCACTTTGTGGCTCCACTTTTGCAAATTCCATCGTTGAAAACATACTAGACATATTTTCAAAATAATCACTTTGCCTACGTAATGCATCGCTAACCTGTGAAATTTAATATATATTTATGATATTATATATATACAAGCAAATCACATAAAATTATTCTATAAATTATTGATTTCTATGACAAAATTTTCAGACAAAAAAAGTACCTGATTCATAGAAATCCAAAGGTCTGAAAATTCAGCATCATCACATTCTGAATTTACAATAGCATTTTCAGATAATTGTGATCTAGTATCTATAGTGATATTTTCTGAATTTGCTTGTGACTGAGAAACCGGTATAGTATCATGTTCCCTCGAAAATCCAGTATCTTCAATGTTAATAATATCATCCTTTGATATATCTAACTTTATAACGTCTTTTTGAGATTCAGGGTTCAAATTGTCCGAAATAAATGGGACACTCACATTCTGTTCATCATATAAAACACTATCATATCCCACATGACTCGGCATCGGCAGGAAATAATCCCCTTGATATTGAGTTAATAAATTCCAATCATTTTCAAGATCATTAGTTGGCAAACCTAATTGATCGACATGTGAAGTAGTATTCATGATCAACCTATCATTAGCATTTAAAAGTCCAGCACCAAGTGTAGAGGTAATTTGATTTCCCCTAGGACTTTGTTGTGAATGTGATAAATTTGTCTCATCCTCTCCTTGAAAACTACAAATATATGGGTTTACCCGTTCTTTTTGGACGGAATGATCGTGAGTGCCCTCTGGAGGAGTATTTGGAAACGTATCATTTAAATCGTGAGAAAAGGGAGGAACTGAAGTAGCACTCCCGAGTAAAGGTTCTTCAGAGAAAAATGTACCTGAAGGAAGGTCAGATAAAAAACTAGAATCTCTAGTTATATTTCGAGGTTGACTTTGTTGAGAATTAGATACATTTTTTGGGGAGTTTGTTGGTTGAGAGGTAGAGACGGAATTATTTGTTGGCGGAGATTGAGCGTTGTCAGGTGTTGGATAATTATTTGTTAGCCAGGCATTATTATTGCCAGACATGTAAGAGAGTGCATGTGATGAGGAATCCCGAGACATATTTCTTTATAATTTGATATATTACACTTTAGCTTTTAAGTTATAGCAAAGAGCCAAAACAAATACACATTTTTCTATCTTAGTGTATTATGGAAAAAATCTCAAAAGGAGGTGGGTAAAAAAAAAGCGTGGTGTTGTTTTGTGCGACTAGTTAGCAAGTTGACTTTATTCAATTTTTTTAGTTAGGTTCTAAATAAGGAAGGTTGCACACCATATTATATTATATCAATCAATAAACTGTATATTACTGTATACTAGTTGAGTACAATTGTATATAAATATATACATTGCGTAAAAGCGCTGCTTGTATTATCGTTACATGTATTATATAACACATACAAACAATTATCTTTGAACCTTGTTTTTCTTTTCAAATTTGATGACGGGATTTATGATTCGTTTCTGACTCCTGTAAAATAATTTATTGGGAAGCTTTAATCTTAATTCCAATTCAACTTCAGTGCGAATCGGTGATCTTTGGTGTTAAAATTTATTATTAAAACAACATTAATTCTTACTTTTTATATATATAATCATCCGACCAGCGTCAAGAAGTGATACTTGTACATTTGTTTTTGGTAATATCTACAAATCTACAGATATATTTTTTAAATATTTTCTAATATCGTAGAATGAGTATCGAAGCATTGCGAATATTCATTTTTACAATAAACTTTCTGTGAATCGTCGTTTGGTCAGATTTTTATTATTGTTATAAACAAAATTAATTAATTTTAATGAATAATGAATATCTCTATATATTTTATATATATTTTATTTATTTTTATTTAAAAAGTTTCAGTTTTCACACATCTCACGTGTTTGTGGTTTGTGAAATTTTGTGAAATTAAACTCGTTTGACGATGAGATTCGGAATTTAAATATTAATAGTTCAGATTAAAATTCAGGGTCCTACTTTAGATAATGATTGGCAAACTATTCAAATTGATAGTGTGATTAAATGCATGTACGACGTGGATCTCGCACTTTTTAATAAAGCAGATTTGCCAAGTTTAAGATTTTTTACGTGGATAACTTTACTTTTCACGCTGTTCTACATATAAATTTTCGTTGCAAAATTCTTTTTATATTATTGGATAGCCGTTACTTTTTTTATGTAGGCTTGTGTGAATCTCCTTTTTGGTTAACGCCGATTGTTCTCTGTATTGTCGTTATCAATGCGTACTTTGAAAAAAAAAACATATATTTTTTAATGTAACCGGTACGCAGTGTTGTACACAGGATAGTTGAAACAAAATTGGGACAGAATTGAGGTTTTAAAAAAATGGCAATAACTCAAGTTTTATTAAGATAACTTGCTTTTAGTTCTTAAATAAACATGTTTAAAACTTAATTTTACATATATATTTATTACTTTTTGATATAGCTATGTAATTGAAAATTGGAATATTGACGGGATAAGATAGAACGTCCAGGGACAAGACGGAACGAAACGAGGCAAAAAAAGCTCGGGATAGTCGAAATGCACAACAATGCGTCGGTATGTATTAATGACGCGATAGACGTCCCAATGAATTTTATGACATACGGTTACGGTTACGGTTATAACAAAAACGTATGATCCTATTATGTTGTAATAATAATTAGTTTCGTACGTACGTACGTAAGTTTAATTGGCGAAAGTACTGTGTTAACGTTAATAAAAGCGTAACTTCAATTTTAAGCTATAAAATTATATGTAATAACTACGTCATAAAATAATTATAAAATATTGTTTTCTTTTATTAAAATTTTTTTGTTAGCGAAACCTTTTTTATAATGGATACGCTTAAAGATATTACCAATTGAAATAGATTAATCAAGAGTCACACTCTTTATTGTCCGAATCTAGTAATATTTCTCGACAACCATCAAATGATGCATCGATTTAGTCTAAAGATGAGGCTTTCACTTTATCTAAAAAAGCATCATGATAAACAAGTAGAAGAAAATTAATTAATTAGTAGACTTCAATTTAAAAAAAGTAATAGATAAAATGTTACAGTAGTATAGGGTGATCTATAGTATAGGTGGGCACATAGTGTTTAAAATTCCTTACGGTTCTTCTATAGTATAGGTGGGCAAACTCCGACGATATCACATAACCACACAGAAAGTCACATATTAAATATGTTTTATGATCGTGATGTCTACTGCTAATTTTAACTTTGCGTAACGATCATTTTTTAGAATAAGTAATTTAACTTTGCGTACGATTATTTTTTTAATTAAACTTTTCATAACGATCATTTTTTAGAATAAGTAACTTACTCGTTATTTAGTTTTGTTAAAGCAAGTTTAACTGATACTTCTATTTTTTATTTTTGTTTAAATTAGAGTTATTGCAAATATGGTATATTAATATTAAAACAAGTTTGTTTTTTTTTAAATAAGTTGTTTACAATCTCCACTTGGCTCAAATTATGAACATTGGTTTTAGAGAAAGCTTATTTTATAAATTTTTTTTGAATAAGCTGTTTACTCTTTTCACTTTGTTCAGATTAGTAGTTTTGGATAAAGTATATATTACAGATAAAGCTTTTTTAAATAAGCTATTTATATATTTTTTACTTGGTTTGAATTAGGCGTCATGAGCTTCAAATAAGGCTTTTTTATAAACTTAGCTTTTATTAAGTAAATTATTTATTTATACCTTTCACTTAATTTGATTTAAGCACTCTTTCTAACAATCTTTTATACCAATTTTTCTTTAAATACCAATCTACAAATATTATATATGATTGATCAGGTTTTATATATAAAATTTCAATTTTTTGATTCTCTTTCTTTTTAGAAAATTACTTAATAATTGTTAGCTTAGATATTTTATAAAATAGATAGCAAACTCTGCAAACTCCATAACTCCACTAAATAATTATTAATAATTACTAATTATTAGCAAAGTTTATTTTCTATAATGCTTACTTATTCTATAGAATATTTGTTAACTCTCTTAATATATTTATATACAACAAAACTTTACTATATAGCCTCTGGATTCAAGAGTTTTAGATTATATATGAGCCTTATAAAATATAATTGAAAAAAATAATTTTTTGTAGTATTATAAAATGAATTTTAGAATAGTGTAGAAGTAGTGTAGTATGAATTTATTATTATACTTTATTAGTATATTATTATCTTACTATATTAGCTTAATATTGTTTTTTATATTGTATTATTATATTTATTAGCTATCTATATTATTAGTTAGATTATTATAATATATTGTATTAAAAGATATTCTTATTAACTAATATTACTATACTACATTATAAAATATAAGATTATATTAAAAGTAACCCAAGATTATACTATTGTTCTCTTGCTTCTATATTTCACAATTGCTCTATTGCTTTTGTGTTTGCTTTTTTGCTTTTACATTTGCTTTCTTGCTTTTGTGTTTGCTTCCTTGCTTCTAAACAACTACTCTCTTGCTCCCAAGTATAAAATGTTTAAATTTATATAGAAAAAAAATATATAAAAAGATTTTTTCTTTTTTTGCTTAAAAAATCTATCTTATTTGTATTTAAAATTTGTTATAGTTTATATTCTCTTTTGTATCTTTTTTTAGTATAGTATTTTTTATCTTAATAGGCAATTCGCCAGTCACCTGAATAAAAAAATTTTTTTTATATATAAATTTTACTATAAGTACGAATGCACAGCGCTTCTATCTAAAACTTTATACTAAGTAAATCACTCTTTGGCTTCTAACAAAAGTTGTAGAGCTCATCAAAATGTATTTAATAATAAAAGGATATTAAAATTAGTCTGGTAGTTCTTGAGAAATTTTTAAAAAATTTCTTTTTCACATATAAAATTTCTTTAAAAAAAATCAATTTTTTTTAAAGAAATTTTATATATAAAGAAGAAGTTTTTTAAAGATTTCTCAAAAACTACTAGACCAATTTTAATATCTTTTTAGTATTAAATACATTTTGATGAGCTCTACAACTTTTGTTAGAAGCCGAAAAATAATTTACTTAGTATAAAAAAAAAGTTTTAAATAAAAGTGCTGTGCATTCGCACTTATAGTAAAATTTATATAAAAAAAAAATTTTTTATCCAGGTAACTAGCAGATTGTCTATTAAGTAAATTCTATAAACAAAGTTATTACTATAATATCTAATATATTGTTATTATTCTAAACTATTAGTCTACTGCTATAAAGTATAGTAAATACTTTACTTTTTATATATTTCTATTATACTGTGGATTTCTCTATCCCTTAAACTGTCCAGTTTTAGTAGGCAAATTTGCCTGCTTAAATTTTATAAATTCATATCTGATCTATTTTTTTAAAATATAAAAATATTTTATAATTT